CCCTTCTCGTGGAGGCCAACGATGAGCTGCAGGATCGAATTGTGATCAAGGAAATTGCGCACGGCGTGCTGCGATGGCGGCACGTTCTGCTCGGCCATGTAGGCAAACAGATCGGCGAGCGTCTCCTTGTCCTCTCGGTTCCAGTCCGCACGGGCGACCGAGCCAGGAGTGTCGGGCTGGCGGCGGCCTCGCGTTGAGCGCGACGAGGTTAACGGGGTTGACGGTGTGGCGACGGCGTCAAAGTTGAGACCCACCGAGGCGTCCGCGTCCGAGTCGGCAGTCGGGCGAGCCACCGACGAAAGCAGGCGGAAGAAGACACCGTCGCGGGAAGCCAGCACCGTCTCGCGGACATGCTGGTAGACGGCAAGCCGGGCAGTGGTGAGACCGCGAAGCTCCCGGGAGTAGAAGACCTCCGAGGTCTCGCGGGAGTGACCCATGCCAAGGTTGAGGATGGCATCAAGGGCAGTGTCGCACGGCGAGTCGACAAGAACTTGATCAATGTGCTTGCGGATGAAACGAGAGGTGGCAAGCGCTGCAAAGTCCTCAACGACATCAGGGTAAGCATCGAGAGAGCCATCGTAGGCGATGACAGCGGCCTCCAGCGCGTTGTGGACAAGTCCAGCAGCTCGTGCAGCGCGGTCAATGTCGCCCGAGAGGCGCTGCGAGGGGTTGCGCCAGTGCGGCAGTGCCAGCGGTGAGTCGAGAATGCCATCAATGTTGAGCTGGCGGACTCGGGCGTTCATGCGCAGAAGCATCTCGACCACGAGACGCGACAGCGGCAGCGGCTCGGTGACGATGTTCTCGTTCCGCTTGTTCTTGGTCGCCACGTTGATGTAGACAATATCATTGAGGGCGGCGACAATGCGGTCCTGACCATCAAATGCAGCAAGCGCAGCGCTCGGGTAAGCCGGCTTGGGCGAGGCGTCCAAGGTGGTGTCGTCACGTGGGGTGAGCGGGGCACGGAGAGCCTCGGCGGTCATGGAGGTGATGGACGAGAGACGCGGCGGACGGCCGCAGACCAGCATGTTGAAGCGGGCGACGAGAACAAGCAGCGGACCGTACTCCTTGTAGGTCTCGATGGTGAAGTCGAAGGATGAGTGCAAGACACCCGAGTGGATGAAGGCGATGAGCAACTTGGCGCCGATGAAAGCGTACATGCGCGGCGTGAACTTGGCGTGCTGGACACGACGGGCGTGGTCAATGAGGTACGACTCGGCGCGGAGGGCCTTGAACTTCTGGAAGGTGGCCATGAGCGCCGAGAGAGCGTCCCAGATTGACTTCCGGGTCGCCACAACCATGGTGACACGCTGATCAAACGTCGGGGTAAGGACCGAGTTCGCCACGTAGCCAAGCGAGGTGTCGATGAGATCACGGAGCGCAATGGCAGCATCGTACATGGTCGAGGCAGAAGGCAACGAGTCTTTGTCGGCCATGAGCAGGTAGTTGAAGAACAGATGGAAGCGGCCGGAGTTGTTCAACGCCCACGACGAGACTCTCCGGGCAAGCTCGTCGCCCGAGAGTGGCTTGACCGGCTGGTGCGGATAGAACCCGACGACCAGCCGCGGAATCCAGTTGAGGCGAGTGGAGACGCCGTGGTTGGGGCGGTGAGGGCGATGACCTCGTTCCACGAGTCAATAACAGCAACGCTGTAGACCTTGTACTGTGCATTGGACAGCGTAAGTCGAGCAGGGTACGACCACTGGGTGCCAGCAGGAACAGCAACCGAGGCGCGAAGTGCATCAACAAAGTCGTCCTCGTAGAGCGGAACGACGGGCAGTCCAAGAGGGATGTCGACATGTTCGAACGGATCCGGACGAACGATGGCGAGCTCGGTGAGCGGGATGCGCGGACGAAAGTCGTTCAGCCCGGAAGGGACGATCGACCGTGAGTCACGAGCTGCCAAGGTGACAGAATGAAACAACGTCCGTTGGACCGAGGTAGGTCGGTCGCAGTCAACGGGCGATGACGCCCGGCGAGTCTGACCAACGGTCGGCTGGCGGTTGAGCTCGTTGGTGGCCGCGGCAGCAGCGGGCGGAGCGAAGACGTCAAAGTCAAGCCCG